ACTATAATCAGGTCGAATATGTTGAGAATTACGCCTGTATGTACTACCTAAATTGTCCTTGACTATAAATGATCTAGGAAATTTAGTTTTTGATATGATTGAACCTTTTGTCCATATTATATTTTTTGGATTTTTCTTAAAATATACCTTATCATTGACTTGAAATTCTTCATATTTTTTACAATTTTTATTATAATAAGATTTGGTTTTTTGTAAATTTTTGTCTTTGACTGAAGAATATTCTGAGAATTTTACAACTTTAGGTCTCAATTGACTAATTTTAGTAGGTAATTTAGTCCTTAACTGTCTCGACATGAGTAATTGAGAAGGTGAATGCATATTACCTCTCGGTGTAGTCCTATGTTGTAATAGTCCTATGTGTGGATCTGTGCCAGATTCCTCACATTTTCTAAAAATATTTTTGACTGTTTTGACAGATACTTCGGCTAAGCCGTTGGATCTAGACAAATATGGGCTTGTAACTATATGTTCAATGTCCCAATCTTGAAGAAATTGTTTAAATTCTTTTGAATTATATGGAGGACCACCATCGCTGACTAATTGCAATGGGATTCCGTGCCTTGAAAAAATTGACTTTAAATTATTTATTACTGAAGAACTTCTACTGTCATTTTTTAAATTAGCTATTTCAATGAAGTTAGAATAATAGTCTACTACCAGCAAATATTTCTGATTTTTATAATCAAATAAATCAGTTGCCAGTCTTTGCCAAGGAAATATAGATTTTTCATGAGGCAAAAGTGATTCTTTTGACTTATTTGAACTGTACATAGCACATGTTTCACATTGCTTTATTTTATTTTCTATGTCATGATTCATACTAGGCCAATAAACTGTACCACGGGCTAAATTTTTAGTTTTTTCAATGCCTAAATGTCCTTCATGTAGAATATTCAGAATTTCTGATCTCATGGAAATTGGAATTATAACAGAATTATTTTTGAAAAGTAAATTATCTATTACATGAATTTCTTCTTTTATATTCCAATATGGAAGAACTAAATTATTACAATGATTTTTACTTTTAGGCCATCCGTTGATAAAATATTCTTTAAGTTTTTGTAATGTTAAATCTTGGTTTGAATGCTTAGAAATTTTTTCTAATTTTTCTTGAGAAATTGCTAAATTCGATGTTAATAGATTAATATGAATATTTAAATTTTGCTCAAAATCTATTAAACTATTTAAAGAGTTGTTACAATCATCTACTGGTGCTCTAGAAAGAGTGTCTGAAATGTACATTTCTGAACCTTTTGTGTATGACACAATTAAATGATAAGCCTGTAATGTTATCATCATTCTTTGAAGTCTTGTAGGTACTTCACACAATGATTTTTTGAAAAGAGTCACCAAGGGTTGATGGTCTGTTTCTACATTAATAGGTTTTCCATAAACATATTGATGGAATTTTTTACAACCGAAGACTATTGCGAAAAGTTCTTTTTCAATTTGTGCATACTGTTCCTGACATTTTGTTAAGGATTTTGATGCATATGCAATTGGATTATCACCATGAAATATTACAGCACCTACTGCATTTTTAGAAGCATCAACAGACATTCTGACAGGTTTATTGACATCATAATGAATCAGTACTGGTGACTTGCAAATAATAGATTTTAATTTATTGAACTGATTTTCATGATTTTCAGTCCAGTGGAAAATATTTTGCTTTTTCAGTAATTCACGAAGAATATTGGTTTCTTCTGCTAAGTTTGGAATGAATGAACCTAAATAATTTATCATGCCAAGGAATCTTTGCAATTCTTTAACATTTTTTGGACTAGCCATTTTAATTATAGCCTCAATTTTTGATTTATCAGGAGATATTCCATTTTTATTGAAAATGTGACCAACATAACAGATTTCTGAAAGACCAAATTTACATTTTTCTCTATTGAATTTTAAATTTACTTCAGAAGCACGCTTGAATACAGCTTCAAGTCTTTGATTGTGCTCTGATTGATTTTTTCCATGAACTAATATATCATCAACGAAAATTATAATACCAGGTAAATCACCAAAAATATCATTCATTATTCTATGAAAAATTTCTCCACTGCAATTTATTCCATAGGGAAGTCTTAAGAATTTATATCTTCCGAATGGTGTGTTGAATGTACACAAATCACTACTTTCTTCGTCTAATTTAATTGTCCAGTAACCAGAACTAGCATCAAGTTTAGAAAAAATTGTACTACCAGCTACTTGTGATCGAAGATCATTAAATGTAGGGTATGGAAAATGAGGTCTTTTTATTGCTACATTGAGGTTTCTTGGATCAAGACATACGCGTAATGAACCATTGGGCTTTTCAACAAGAACTATAGAGTTGACCCATTTAGTTGGTTTTGTGACTTTAGCAATAATATTTATTTTTTCCATATTTTCTAATTCATTTTTTAAACGATTTTGTAAAGTAAATGGAATCCTACGTACTGGGCAAATTTTAGGTGTAACACTTTCATCAATATCTAAATGAACTTCATTTGGAAGACATCCTATTCCCTCAAATGTTTGTGAATAGTTAGAAACAATATCTTGTACTGACCTTTCCGAATCCAAGTCCTTTTGCAAATCCTTTTGAATTTTAAAAATTCTTTTGACAATACCTAGTTTTTCACAGGTTTTCCATCCTAAAATAGTTTGACATTTACAATTGACTACAATAAAATATATGCTAGTTGTAAGACTATTTTCAAATTCACATTTTAGTATACAGCTGCCTATATTTGGTACTACTTGGCCTGAAAATGAGAAAATTTTATTATTTGTTCTCTGAATAGGTATTTTCTTATTAGTGTGAGTCATCATTTTATCAAGTGTGTCTTTTGATATGACATTCGCGTCAGCTCCTGTATCAATTTGACATTTTATTAAATAATTATTCAATTTTACATTTATTTTCCATTCCTCATTATTACAATTATTATTATTATTTTCAATGTCAGTCAAATTACTAATTATAAAATAGTTATTGTCAGAGTTAGAATTCTTATTACTACTTACACTACTAATATGTCTCTTGTCCGACTTGTTATTTTTGTTGGAAAAACAGTAATTGGCAAAATGGTTTGTCTTCTTGCAAATGTTGCATGTTTTTCCTTCCGCTGGGCATTTATATATATGCACTTGACCACATCGCCTACAAGTTTTGTTTTGTGATGGAGACCTTTTTCTTGATGAACTTTGACTTGAATTTCTGTTTTTCTTGTTTCTTGTTTTTGAGATCGATCTACTTCTATGATTGTTAATGTTTTTCAGCGCTTGAATATTGTTGGATAATTCCTTGGGTGTATGCGACTGTGTGATTCTTGACGAACGCTCCTGGGACAGTTCCATGCTTTTAGCAATTTTTAATGCATCTTCCAGTGTTAATTTTTCCTGCTGAAGCAAACTTTCACGAATTTTTGAATTTTGAATGCCAATAACAAACATATCTCTAACCAAAGAATCTTTCAATGTATTAAATTCACAAGACATAGCCAAATTGTTTAATACTGTTACATAGTTGTCTAAAGATTCATCTATTTGTTGAGTCCTTGTGAAGAAATTGTATCTTTCTACTGTGATATTACTTTGAGGATTAAATTTCTCATCAAACGCTTTTATCAGATTTTCCAAAGAAATATTTTTTCTGTCGATGTTGAAGGAATTATATATTTCAATGCCATAATCACCAATTGTGTTCAAAAAAATAGCCACTTGCTTTGTCTCATCTTGTTTTTTAATATCATTTGCGTCACAAAAAATTTCGAATTTTTGCTTCCATCGACGCCATTGTTCCGACACGTTGCCATTGTTCACAGCTAACGGTTTTATCCCAGACATGAATATTTGTTCAGACATTTTTACTTTTTCCTTTTTTTTTTTTTGACTTCGCCTTTTTATCCCATGTATGACACCATATTTCGTTTTGTTTTGGGTTCTTTATTTCTAAGGCTTTATTAATTGAAACTAGGAACTTACAGGATCGACCATCTTTATTGCAGACCAGAGACAAGAGATCTATCTTAGAGACAATTCTTCATATCAAGTTGACCATAAATTATAGACAAAGTTACAGATACACAATATGTAACACTCAATTCTTCCTTCAGCTTGAAAATTGCTTAACCTCAGATTTTAGCATTTTCCTCAGAACTTTAACTTCAGACTTAAATAGGCGATACATGTGGCGCTCTCCTTTCGAGAAATCGTCCCAAATAAACAGTGACGGTTATAGAAGCCGTTCAAAAAAAACTTTTATTTTATAATCTGTGATTTGTAGTGGTTTATCTCGATCTATACTCTTTGATCTCGATTCTCGAGTCGACTCGAATTTGACATATGTATAAACGGAATATTAGTAAGAAAACGCTTTTGTAAGTATTTTAACAAGATGAAACGTTAAATTACTTAATGACAATAAAACAACTTATTTAATTTGAATAAAAGAAACAAAAATTGAGTAAAGCAAGTTTAAAGAACTGAGTGCTGAAGTGTAAAAATAGTAATGATATTAGCTGAAACCTTGATGTTTTTTGTTGCTCTGATCGATAGCTGCGCAGTTTTGTTTCTATTAGTTTACTATATTATTACGCTATCAGACTTGGAGTGTGATTATTTAAATGCTCAAGAGTGCTGCGATAAACTTAATTATTGGCTTTTACCTAAATATATTGCTCATTCATCGATAACTGTTTTGTTGTTACTACATGGTCAGATTATATTATTTCTCTTAAATTTGCCTTTGCTCGTATGGTTGACATATGAATATTTTACGATACCACAAGGAAATATAGGTAAATATGATCCTGCCGAAATTCATAATAGAGGTCAACTAAGAAAATACCTGAGAGAGGTCATGATAAACGTTGTATACTACTTAATATTTTTCTTTATCTATTTATATTGCTTTATACTTGCATTATTAAAAGGTGATCCAATCAACCAAGCTAGTGATGACGAAATTGTGACAGAAATTTAACAAAGACAAAATGTCAGACAACTCCCAGAACGGTACTTGTTCGGACCCCATTGAAAATTATCAAAAATGTACTGAAGAAGAGTTGGACAGTGATAAATGTGTTAAATTAAAAGTAGATAATCATATTAGTGCTTATTTAAACAAAACTAATCTTGATATAAAAGTAGAACCTAATGATATTAGTGATTCCTTAATACAGAAAGTGTTTTTGAATTACATTATAGTTAAGCAAATACTTAGCAATTTGTCCTGGCAAGATAAATGTCTATGCCAACAAGTATGTAGAACTTGGCATGCTGCTATGCAATCATTGAAAAAGGAGCAATTGAGTCCTGAAGATTTTGTATTGGATCTTAAGCTACATTCGTTTAATACTAGTGTTAAATATAAGCAATCTCAAAAATTTTACAATGAACCTTTAGTTGTAATGACATTTACTAATGAAGCAGGATTTTGCTTGACATCTCAGTGTCAGCAAATACAACCCCATCCATGTTCAGAACCATGTAATAAAGAACATTCTAGTAAGTTTTAATAAGAAAAAACATTACTTTTTGCTTTATAATTCTTTGAACTTTTATTTAAGAACTCTTGTTAACAATCAATTATTTTAATTTTCAGTATTAGATGTGGTTGACAAATATAGTAGTGCCCCAAAAGACTGTATAAATATATTGAAATGTGAATACTTAATTTACATGCCACTGTCTCATTCAGAAACATTTGAATATACTATTACACATTTCAAACTTTTACCATTTATGGGAGGGTTATATATTCCCGCTATACCAGATGTAAAATATCACACTCTTAATTTGAGAACATATGATAATATGAAGCATGAATACTATGAGTTTGTCAATGAATTAACTAAAGACAGGATTGTTAAGGGTTTGCTAGTTTTTGTTACTGATAAATATTTGTTACATCCAGTGGAGGATATCATATTTATAAATTATTTGAAGGATGTGTAAGTAATAATAATACTACTAGTTTTGTCTACACCTTCCCTCATATGACACTCAAGACAATAAAAATTTATTGATTTATCCAGGATATAATGTTATATAAATATAATATATTACTTTTATTTCTAATTTTATTTAAATCTGTTGAGCCCTTACAGTGTGAAAATGGAACAGTCATACAGCATACTCACTCAATAATAAACTTAGCAGTTACAATATTAATGTGATTTACAAAAGTAATATATATTGTAGTAAAATCTTATGAATCAACATTTTTTTTGTACAAATTATATAAATATTATCAATTTGCAATTGTTTTACAGACAAAAGGATATTCCCTATGCACTTGGAGGTTGTATTATAGAGGACACAATATTTCAACAAAGTCATTTAAGTGATATTGTTGATGCAGCAAACAATAAAAAAAATTTCATCAGTGAGAACTTGATCTCCATGGGCTTTTTTACTATACCAAAGAGTAGTCCTAATAATGAATACAATTTTAGTATGTATTCATTGGTTATTCCATCAGCTGATTTAACAAAGGCTAAGATACAAGGAACCATTAATGAGGTAACTTTCTTAATAAATTACATTTACTTATACATCTAATAGTGTGAAATATCACGCCTATGACAGCTTGATGATTTTGAAGTTCTCTTTGTGACATACACTTGTAGTGACATATACAAATAGTGTAAAAAGTTAATGTTATGTTTGGAAAATATAGAATACAATGTTAATTACTATTACACCTTTTAAAAAATGGGTCATTTGGACTTAGATTTATGCTACTGGGATTGTGGCCCCGGGACTCCATATGTGAGAAGCTCTCGGTAACAGAAATTTTGTGGTGTTATGTTTGTAAAATCATGATATTTCTTTTTTAAATATTCTTAAGAACCTCTATTTTCCTTATTTGCCCCGGGGCCACACTTGTAAATCTGGCCCTGGATATTTGGAATCATACGCAAAAGGTTTGTACCACTATATTATTTATAGTTATACTTTTTTAATGTGTTTATTTTGAATAGTGGTTGAAATCCTCCACAAGTATGCTTGTTTATCGGCTACTTTTTATAAAATTTCTTCCTTCGGTTTTGTCTGCTAAATTACAAGTGGATACTATGGTTTAAATTTTAAAAGATGGGTTTTCTAAGTAATAGTAGGGGCCCCAACCAGACCTTTCAAATATATACTTGTAGAATATATTCAATTTATTTGTGTATCTATGTAAGTACAAATATAATATTAAAAGATTATAATATACTATTCTTAATACTTTGTCTAACAGTTTGCTAAGAGAGTGCCCCAGTTTGAGTATAGTGTGGGGCTCAAGTTGTCATGCATTGGCAGGGATCAAAAACATACTACTGAGCAGAACTGTTTGCGCGCGGCTTTCCCAAATACAAGAATAATTGGTTGCTATGGCAACGGGGAGCTGGGCTTGAACTACCCAGAAAAACCCCAGAAGGATCGTATCGGGGATATAATAAAGCGACAACGTCTACAATGTACGAATCAATTTGATATATTGTATTCATATTCTACAGTATTTGTGTACATTGGGTGGGGTAAAATTACACAACCGTAAGAATTAACCGTGTCATTTAATGTTTCCATAACAGAATATGGAATTGTGCAGTTTCAGAACTTATAAAGACTAACTTGATTTTTTTCAGTTGTATTTGGGATACACCAATACAGCAAATAGTAATAAACTAATTGAATACTCATTGAAACATAAATCTTTATTTATGATCGTGAATTGTTTCTTTAGTAAACAAGGCACAGTCAAACCTCGTGAAAAAACAATTGCTCCAGATAAGTCCCCAAACTGCTTATGAAAAAAAAACTGCTGTAGTTTTTCTAATTCTACATTATGTTCAATTCTATTGACTCTATTTTAGAACTATGCGAATGTTTCTACTCGTTAGGGGTTAGATAACTAGATTATTATTATTTATTACATATTATAACTCCTTTATCTCGTAAAATATTATTTATAATATGAGTATATACCCATACAAGTAGTAAATACTACTGATTGTGTTAGTTGCTACAATATTCAAGGGCTTACTTTGTAAATAACGCTTATTAAATATATAAATCTATGTTTAATAATACTTTCTTAGATTTACGCGAATGCTTGACATTTTTAAATAAAACTATCTTTTCGGATTATTTCGCGGATTTATTTTGATTTTTGTTTACCGACGTTTCGTATGCTTTACAGCATCCACGGTCACGGGAATCCGCGAAATAATCCGAAAAGATAGTTTTATTTAAATCTATGTCTATTCATTTAATGCTAATGATAATAATAATATAAAGTTGGGATTGGTAATAATTTGGATTTTAGATAAGTATTTCTTTTTATAAAAAATGTATTAAAGATTCAGATTTGGTAAAAATATTTTTATATAATAATTTGTAACATTATTGGCTAAATAAGTAAAGGGAAAAGTTTTATTGCTTTATTTTTTTTATTTTAATATATTCGGTATAGGAATCAAAATTAACAACTTTGTAAATAGCGCTACGACGAATACGTAGTTTAAATTTGTTTTTAAGCCTGTAATGTTACCAATTGTTTGTTTATAACTGTGATGTAAGCAAACATGCATTTATTGTCATTGCTTTTACTAAAATAAAATATTAATGTTAGAAATTATTGACTTACATATAAAAATTATATAATACATAATAATATTGTCTACATGGTAATTAAATAGTCACAACTTTGTACTGTAGTAATAAAATATATATTATAATTTAATCATTTTCGCAAAAAATGTTAAGCTCCTTAAAATCTAGATTTTTCAAATTTAACATTTGAGCATACTTTTACTTTAATGTTTTTGTATATTTTCCATTTTAAAGAATCTAGTACAATTTTTGTGCTATAAATAAGGTGAACAATATTTTTTGGTTTGTTTATTTTTTCATTCATATTAACAATGCAAAGAGTTCTAATAATAAAAAAATAGCATCATTTATATATTTAAAATTTTATAAAACTATACTGAATATAAGTATAATAATTCTTGTTTTATTTAGGTATATGCACGTAATTCCGCTTTCTGCGATTAGGTTATATGTATAATATTTTATAATTTAAACTTTTTTGTACTGTATTTGATTATGTGTATTTAAAGGCATTAAGTGTAACTTTTGCAACCTATTAAGTATCATTACTATAGTCACTGACGAAGTTATTAGTATTAAGATATATCTTTTATGTCTAAATGTGTATTAATAAGTAGTTAGACATTTACACTATGATAATAAAGTTGGATTGGTATCTCGATGTTTGTTTTATTATAACTAGTACCTCTTACAAACAGATTTTTTTGGTTTAGAATATTTATAACAAGAAATGGAAAATGTCACTTTAAAGTTAGTTAAGTTACATATTCTAGGTGCTAGCTTGAAATAAGCATTGACGTCGTAAACAAATGTAAACAGGTAAATAAAATTGAAGTGTCTGTTTGTAATGTCAAAAATAACAGCTTTTTACTAAATGCATATAAAATTATATGCGGTATTTATAAGAAAAACACAATTCTTACATTTTTTGTCTGATCCGGTTAATCTCCGAAACAGTTGCGACTGATTTTGACGGGACTCACTGGCAGATAACTGATGTTATAAGGAGTAACTTCGGCTACTTTTATCTTAGAAAAGCAATTAGGGTCCCACTCAAAAAAATTAAAACTTACCTAGGATTCGCCCGAGTGAAGCCAGGGTAAGTCGATAGTAGTTTATAAAATACACTAGCATTGCCCGCGGCTCCGCCCGCGTTCAGATGACCAAAAACTAAATTCTTAGGTGTTACATATTAGTATACTCTTACATTGCAGTTTTTGTATTTTTCCTCAGAAATAAGATATTTTCCCGCGGTAAAAAGTATCCTAGGATCGCGCGCTACATCGCCCGGTTTATATAGCTTGAGCAGGCGGTCGAGCGATGCGGGGCAGAGGGGATGGACTCGCCGTAGGCATCTCAATGCTCGCCAAGCATTAAAAATGTTTCGCTACTAATTACTTCTAACAACGATATCTCAAAAACTATTCATCTGATTGATTTAGTGTAAAGAGCAATTTTAATCTGCATTAAATGACTAAGCTAACTAAAATATTCATTTGGATAAGGATTAATACCGAACTAAAGAAAATAACTTTGAAAATAACGTAATGTTTTTAATTAAAAATGTTAACATAAAAGTGGTTATTGTAAGTCAACCGTAAGAGATAGAGATATGCTATCGCGGACTTTTTTGTAGCATTTTTATAGATTTTGAATTCTCTAGTACATTACTTAACTGTATCTTTGCTAGTTTACGCGGCGTTCGCGTGGAAAGTTCCCATTTGGCGAGATTTTTTGCGACCTCTTCAACATTTGTCGCCGTATTTCAGCTAATTTACATAAAAGCATAATAAATTATATACCTAAACCTTCCTCAAGAATTACTCTTTCTATTGTTGAAAACCGTATAAAAATCCGTTCAGTAGTTTTCGAGTTTATCGCGTACAGACAGACAGGAGGACAGACAGGAGGACAGAAAGACGCGGCCGGGGGACTTATTTTTATAATAAGTATAGATATGTCGTTAAACAAAAGACCGTCCTCGCTGGCCTAATTCAATACTATTAGTATTTAGTAGTATACAGTTAAGGGATTTAAGGACCTAGTGCTGCTGAATTCAAAAGAAATGTAGCATCTGCAAAATTTAACAAAATGGACAAATAAAATCAATTTCGGTTGACATACATTTTTTTTTGGAATCGAAATTAACAACTCTGTAAATAGCGCCATCTACAAATACGTAATTCAAACTTATTTACTAAGGCCTGTTGTATAGTTAAATGCAAAATGTAAAATATGAAAATGTGGTGGTTAGCCCACTATTACATTTTATTTTTCTACGCTTTGTTTTTAAATTAGACTACGATATATTTTGCAGGATCATTTTTTCTGATACATATATTTTTTTTATGTGAATAATAAATTGACACACGCAACGCCATCTATTGAAATATTTTAATATACTATACTAGTATCACAGATCATAATATAATACTTTATGGGAGTGTGCGCGAACTATAGAGAGATGTCGAAAGTAGAGCGCCCTGGTGTTAAATAAGAAAAACTTAGTGATGTAAACTGGTTTTTATAAATTAATTGTGTGATATTGAAAATAGTAGAAATCTGGTATTATTTAAACTTTTTGAAAAGTATTTTGAACTTTGACAGAATAAAAAATTAAAAATAAATCTAAAGGTGTTTAAAAATTCGAAGTACAAATAACATTATTTTATAATTTGTAATCACTTGAAATTAGAAAATTATTATTATTTTAAAAATTAAATATTAATGAAATTTTTGAAGAAGCTGTTAATAAACTTAAAGATATTATTTTTAGTTCGATAATAATCGGAACATAACTAGTTTTAGACCTTGTCTAATACCTGCTAACTGTAGTATCATATTGATTATATACAAAATAATAATTAAAATTATTATTATTTTTTTAATTAAAAGACTTCACTTTCATGTGGTTTTTGTACTGCGTTTATCCACCTTCGACGTTTGAAAACTATCCACGCAGTGTTCGATAAACTTTCCGGGCAACGATAAAATTTCAACTGCGTATTATTTTTATACGGCATATTTGAATAGCCACGAATATAGCAAAATACTTTTGATGAAGACATCACAAACACTTATTTAAATTAACAAGAAATAATTTATTAACGCTTAACGCTGATAATGCAAAACCAATACTTACTGCTTACCATCACTTTGTTTATGTTTTTTCACAGCAGATGGCAGAATCGTCATCTTTCTCACTCCCTATACTAGCTGGTATCTACCATGGAGTCTTAGGAACCGAAAAAAATAAATGTAAATAGATGGCATAATATGAATCGATTTGTTATTAAAGTTTGTGTAAAATACAGGAAAGATAAAAAATACATCCCCAAAATGTATAGGTGTTATGGTTTTAAAATATTCTCTAAGTAAAAGACAATGAAATATTGCGCTCGTGAGTCTTTGCGTAAAGGGTCTAGAGGAGTTTAGTATATGAAAAGTGCACTGGCGTCTAATGGAGAGTTCTTATTTAAAACTGAAGCCCATTACTGTTTTTTTTTTAACGTTGGGAAATGCATTTAGGCACGAAGTGTGGGACAAAGCCAGTACTACCCACTAAAACGCAGGATCGCTTCCGCATTCAACCACGACGCCCCGACGGCAGGTCTGCCGAAGTAGACCACAACAACCATGGGGTTGCTCCACAGTCCACTCTGCTATTAGAGAAGTACCAGGAGCAACCCGCATGGTATACCGCCCACCGAAGTGGGCCACCTCCCAGTGCGTTTCTTTACTATTTGCTTTATCAGCTGTTGTAGTTACACAAGTTTCTTCAAATATGGAGATGTATTTTGGAAGGTTTTAGATTTGTGACGGTCATATGACAAATAATACATAATTGCCCTTACATACATATACGGAGACACCAGCTCACGGTTCCATTTCCGCTTGCACAATCACACTCATAGATTTGATACCCTTATAACCTTTGTTTTT